TTACATTTACAACTAAATTGTTACTTTTCAATTTGCAGCTTAAAAAATTTCCTAAATAACTTTGTAATTACAAACTTTCAGCGGCAATAAAGAACTCAAAAGTGTTTTTAAATGTCCTAAAAACTTGTTTTTCTGGTGGGGTTGACTTTCTAATTGATAATTGTGACTTTTTCAATGTCCTTAGCTTCATAATTTTTTGTAAAATCTCAACCGTACAAAGTAAACCCTTAGATTTCTGATTTTGTATATGAAACAAAAAATTTTGATTGATCTTTGTATGAATGCAATTTTCTCTGAAACTATGCAAGATACTGAAACGAAAATTTAACAGATTATTCTTGAAGGTACGGAAAGCTAAAATATGGTCAACAATTATCAAAAAAATATTTGCTTCAGGTTACATTTACAATTAAAAGTTACTTTTCAATTTGCAGCTTAAAAAATTTCCTTAAAAACTTTGTAATTTCAAACTTTCAGCGGCAATAAAGAACTCAAAAGTATTTTAAATGTTCCAAAAACTTGTTTTTCTGGTGTGGTTGACTTTTTAATTGATAATTGTGACTTTTTCAAGGTCCTTAGCTTCATAATTTTTTGAAAATTCTCAACCGTACAAAGTAATACCTTAGATATCTGATTTTTTATATGAAACAAAAAATCTTGATTTATCTTTGTATGAATGCAATTTTCTCTAAAACTATGAAAGATACTGAAACGAAAAATTCACAGTTTATTCTTGAAGGTACGGAAAACTCAAAAATAGTCAACAACTATCAAAAAAATATTTGCTTCAGCTTTTATTCACACTTGAAATGTTACTTTTCAATTTGCAGCTTAAAAAATTTCCTTAAAAACTTTGTTATTTCAAACTTTCAGCGGCAATAAAGAACTCAAAAGTATTTTATATGTCCCAAAAACCTGTTTTTCTGGTGGGGTTGACTTTCTAATTGATAATTGTGACTTTTTCTAGTTCCTTAGCTTCATAGTTTTTTGTAAATTCTCAACCGTACAAAGTAAAACCTTAGATATCTGATTTTGTATATGAAACAAAAATCTTGATTTATCTTTGTATAAATGCAATTTTCTCTGAAACTATGCAAGATACTGAAACGAAAATTTGACAGATCATTCTTGAAGGTACGGAAAACTCGAAAATGGTCAACAATTATCAAAAAAATATTTGCTTTAGGTTTTATTTACAATTGAAATGTTACTTTTCAATTTGCAGCTTAAAAAATTTCCTTAAAAACTTTGTAATTTCAAACTTTCAGCAGCAATAAAGAACTCAAAAGTGATTTAAATGTCCCAAAAACTTGTTTTTTCTGGTGGGGTTGACTTTCTAATTGATAATTGTGACTTTTTCAAGGTCCTTAGCTTCATAATGTTTTTAAAAATTCTCAACCGTACAAAGTTTTTCCTTAGATGTCTGATTTTGTATATGAAACAAAAAATTTTGATTTATCTTTGTATGAATGCAATTTTCTCTAAAACTATGCACGATACTGAAACTAAAATTTAACAGTTTATTCTTGAAAGTACGGCAAGTTCGAATATGGTCAGCAATTGTCAACAAAATATTTGGTTCATGTTTTATTCACAATTGGAATGTTAGCTTTCAATTAGCAGCTTAAAAAATTTCCTTAAAAACTTTCTAATTTCAAACTTTCAGCGGCAATATAGAACTCAAAAGTATTTTATATGTCCCAAAAACTTGTTTTTCTGGTGTGGTTGACTTTTTAATAGATGATTTTGACTTTTTCTAGTTTCTTAGTTTCATAGTTTTTTGTAAAATCTCAACCGTACAAAGTAAACCCTTAGATTTCTGATTTTGTATATGAAACAAAAAATTTTGATTTATCTTTGTATGAATGCAATTTGCTCTGAAACTATGCAAGATACTGAAACGAAAATTTAACAGATTATTCTTGAAGGTACGGCGAGTTCAAATATGGTCAGCAATTGAGCAAATATGGTCATGCTTGTGCTGGTGCTGAAGATTGTGCTTTTGCTGGTGCTCGTACCGGTTCTTCTGCTAGTGCTTTGGGTGGTGCTGGCGCTTGTGCTGGTGCTTGTATTAGTGCTAGTGCTAGGGCTGGTGTTGGTGCTGGTGCAAGTGCTGGTGCAGGTTCAGGTGCTTGTTCTGGTCCAGTTTTTTTGTGCTAGTGTTGATGCTTGGTGCTAGCGGTTCTGCCTGTCCTGGTGCTTATGTTGTTGCTGGTGCTGCTGCTGGTGCTGGTGCTGGTGCTGGTGCTCGTGCTAGTGCTGGTGCTGGTGCCAGTGCTGACGCTGGTGCTGGTGATTGTGCTAGACCCAGTGCTTGTGCTTGTGCTGGTGCTGTTGCTGGTGCCGGCGCTTTTGCTGGTGCCTGCACTAGTGCTGGAGCTGGTGCTGGTGCTGGTGCTGGCACTGGTGCTGGTTCTGATGCCATCGCTTTTGCTGCCACTTGTTGCTCTCTTGGTGCTGGTGCTGGTGCTGATGCTGGAGCTAGTGCTGGTGCAGTTGCTGGTGCTTTTGATGGTGCTTGTGCTTGACCCTGTGCTTGTTCTGGTCTTGGTCGGTGGTTTTTGTGCTGATGCTTATATTGGTGTTTGTGCTTGACCCCGTGCTTGTGGTGGTGTTGTTCTTCAGGCTGTTGCCTCCGCCAGTGCCGGCGCATGTGCTGGTGCAGGTGCCTGTGCTAGTGGTGGTGATGGTGCTTAGGTTGGTGCCGCTGCTCGTTGTGGTGCTGGTGCTGCTGCTGGAGATGCTGCTGTTACTGGCGCTTGTGCCTGTCCTGGTGCCTACGCTGATGCTGGTGCTTCTGGTGGTGCTGGTGCTGGTGGTGGTACTGGTGCTTGTGCCAGACCCGATGCTTATGCTGGTGCTGTTGATTGTGCTGGTGTCTGGGTCGGTGCCTATGCTAGTGCTGGTGTTTGTGCAGGACCATGTGCTTGTGCTGGTGCTGGAACTGATGCTGGTTCTTGTGCTGGTTCCGTTACTAGTGCTGGAGCTGATGCTGTTGGTTGTTCTGGTGCTGATGCTAGTGCTGGTTTTGGTGCTAATGCTGTTCCTTTGCCCGGTGATGGGGCTTGTGCTGGTGACTGTACTGGTGCTGGAGCTGGTGCTGGTGCTGGTGCTGGAGCTGGTGCTGGAGCTGATGTTGGTGCTTGTGCTGGACCCGGTGCTTGTGCTGGTTCTGGTTCTGGTGCTAGTGCTACTACTGGTCCTAGTGCTGTTGCCTGTACTGGTGCTGGTGCTGGCGCTTAGGCCTAGCTTAATGCTGGTGTTGGTTGTGATGGTGTTGCTGCTGCTGGTGCTTGTGCTAGTGTTTGTGCCTGTCCTGGTACTTAGTCTGGTGCTGGTGCTGGTGCTGGAGCTGCTTGTGGTGCTGGTTCTGGTGCTGGTGCTGGTAACGGTGCTGGTGTTAGTGCTGGTGCTTGTGCTTGTGCTGGTTCTGGTTCTGGTCCTGGTGCTAGTGCTGGTGCTGGTGCTGGTGCTGGTGCTGGTGCTGGTGCTGGCGCTTGAGCCTGTTCTGGTACTTTGGCTGGTGGAGGTGTTGGTGCTGGTGCTGGTGTGGTGCTGGTGCCTGGGCCGGTGCCAGCTCTTGTGCAGGTGCCTATACTAGTGCTGGTAGTGGTGTTGGTGCTGGTGCTGGCGCTTGTGCCTCTCCTATTACTTTGGCTGGTTGTGGTGCTGGTGGTGGTGCTGGTGGTGGTGCTGGTGGTGGTGCTGGTTCTGGTACTTGTGCTGGACATGGTGCTTGTGGTGGTGCTGGTGCTTGTGCTGGTGCCTGGGCAGGTGTCTCCACTTGTGCTGGTGCTTGTACTAGTGCTGCCGCTAGTGTTGGTTCTGGTTCTGGTGCTAGTGCTGGTGCTGGTGCTAGTGCCTGCGCTGGTGGTGGTGTTGGACTGTTGCAGGTTCTCGTACCGGTGCTTGTTCTGGAGCTTGGGCCTGTGCCGGTTCCAGTGCTGGTGCTTGAACTAGTGCTAGTGCTGCTGCTGGTTGTGGTGCTGGTGCTAGTGCTGGAGCTGGTGCAGGATCTGTTGCTGGTGTTAGTGCTGGTAGTAGTGTTTGTGCTGTTGTTGGTGCTGTAGCCTGTGCTGTTGCCTATAATAGTTCCGGTATTTGTGCTGGACCCTGTGCTTGTGGTGGTGCTGGTGATGGTGCTGGTTCTGGTGCTGATACTGATGCCGGTGCTGGTGCTGGTGCTGATGCTGGTCCTTGGGCCGGTGCTGGCGCTTGTGCTGGTGCTTGTACTGGTGCTGGTGCTTAGGCTGGTTCTAGTGTTAGTGATTTTGCTGGACTAACTGCTCGTGCTGGTGCTGGTGCTGTTGCTTGTCATGTTGCCTTGGCCGGTACTGGCGCTTGTACTGGTCCCTGTACTAGTTCTTTTGCTAGTGCTGGTGCTTGTGCTGGGGCTGGGGCTAGTGCTGGTGCTGGTGCTGGAGCTGGTTCTAGTGCTAGTGCCAGTGCTGGTGCTGGTGGTGGTATTGCCGTTGGTGCTGGTGCTGGTGCTTGTGTCTGTCCAGGTGCTTAGGCTTGTGCTGGTGCTGCTGCCTGGAGCTGGAGCTGGAGCTGTAGCTGGAGCTGGAGCTGGTGCCTATTTCTGGTGCTGGTGGAGGTGCTGGTAGTGGTGCTGGTGGTGGTGCTTGTGCTGGTGCTGCTGCTGATGCTGGCGCTTGTGCTGGTGTTTGTTTTGGTTCTTGTACCGATGCTTGTGCTGGAGCTTAGGCCCATGCCAGTGTTTGAGCTGCTGCATGTACTAGTGCTGGCGCTAATGCTGGTTTTAGTGCTGGAGCTTGTGCTGGACCCAGTGTTTGTGCTGGTGCTGTTTCTACTGCTGGTGCTTGTGCTGGTTTTTATCCTGGGGCTGGTGCTGGTGTTGGTGGTGCTGGTGCCGTCGCCTGTGCCTGACCTGGTGCTTAGGCTGGTGCTGTTGCTGGTGCTTGTGCTGGTGTTAGTGCTGGTGCAGGTGCTGGTGCTGGTGCTGGCGCTTGTGCTGCTGCTGTTGCTGATACTGGCTCTTGTGCTGGCGCTAGTGTTTGTTCTGGTTCTTGTGCGGGAGCTTAGGCCCATGCCAGTGGTTGAGCTGGTGCTTGTGCTAGTGCTAGTGCTGATGCTGCTTTTGGTGCTGGTGCTTGTGCTGGACCAAGTGTTTTCTACTGGTGCCGGTGCTTTTTTTGGTGCTGGTTCTGTTGCTTGTGCTGTTGTCTGAGCCTGTTGAATATTTGACTATCTTGCAGACACCACTACAAGGCACGAACTGTAGAAGCTTATATCTGTAAGTAGTATACGGTGTTCGGCGTAATATGACCAAAGACGTCCAACATTAAAAACGAGGTTATAGTTAGTGTGATTATATATATATATATCGTAAAATAAACCAATTGAGTGACTCACACAAGTCGATAGTATAATGTATAATTCGTAAAAACCGTTCGTTTGAGTTCAAATGCGGCCACAACTCTCTGCGTGACCGCTCCGTGTATCTTCACCTCTCGACTGACCACAGGGGTCCGAAGTTATAACAAAAAGATAACAAAATCCAACATCCTCCCCCCTGATTGACAACGTCAATCAGAGCCTATTTACAGAATAAAATATTACAAAATATATAAAATTTTAAAGTCCTTTAATAAACTGTGCAACATCTTCGTCTTTAACTTGTGTGATTTGAACGTCTTGTTCTGCTTCTGAGACTTCTGGAACTTCTTGTACTTCTAACGGGTACAATTTTTTCAGTGGTCGTTTAATATTAATGTTTCTGCCAGCGCTGTCCATGGTGACGAGTTCGGCTCCACGTACTCCACCATCTTGACCGATAATAAGACGCATAATTTTTCCGAGTGCCCACCTCTGTCGGGGGATCTTGTCTTTATGTATAATCACAATATCTCCGACTTGCGCGATTCTCTTCAACGATCCCTTTTTCAAACACGCGTGTTCACGCAATGCGGGTAAATATTCTTGCTTCCATCGAGCGAAAAAATGTTCCAATAACGTATTGAGATATTTGAGTCGTTTTGTTAAGTGTTTCGTGTCCGATAGTTCTACGTCTTGCGAAATACTAGGCTTATCCAACAACCTTCGACCGATCACTAGACAAGAGGGGGTAAGCGGGGCCTCCCCAATATCGCTGCTAACGAACGTAAGAGGTCTCGAATTAAGCACACCTTCGGTCTCTATTAACACAGTTTCCAGTTCTTCGAACGTGAGAAGAGCGTTACCGAGTGTTTTCCGCAAGCAGCGTTTCGTTAGCTTCACCAAAATTTCGAAAAAACCGCCATACCAGCTCGCGCATGGCAAGTTAAACTTCCAAGTAATATCGCGACTTAAAATGTATCTCTGTACCATTTTATCAACAAATGTTTTACCGTTATCCGACTGTACACGCGTAGGTAAACCGCGGCGACCGATTAAACGTTTTAATACGCGTATAAATGAGTTTGCCTGTAAGTCAACGGTGAGTTCGAGATGAATTGCGCGAGTACTGGCACACGTAAACAGGGCAATGTAGCATTTATGTGTTTCATTTGAATCAGAGTAGATATTTTTGACGTACAACGGGCCCGCGAAATCGACTGCAATGTTCGAAAATGCGACATCGTCCGAAACTCGAAAACCCGGCAACGGCGGGGGCCCGGGGGTATCGTAACATTTTCCCATTAACCTTTTGCACTGAACGCATTTTGACAACAACGTTTTCACAGTCTGGCGACCCTTACAAATCCAATACTCAGTTCGTATTTGTGTAAGAGTTTCGTTCGTACCATTATGCTTTACGATAAGGTGGTTTTTGCGAATGAAAAGTTCCGTAAAATAGTGTTTTCTCGGTAAGAGCACAGGAAATTTTGTCGAAAACGGAATAGGTGCGTTATCTAGTCTACCACTGACACGGTAGACCTCTTGTTCATCTTTAATAACTTTCAATTGGCGTTTCGTTTCAGAAAATTTCTTATCTAGTTCGAGCGACTTTTGAATTGTACGATGCCATAATACTTTCGCGCGATTGAGGTCTTCAGAATCTATAATATCATCACCGCTACTCACTATATCACCTCGCAAACGCTTTATAAACTTCAACACAATAGCGGTAATGCGCAGGAGCTTGTCGTAACTGTTGTATCGCTTGCAATCAATTATCGGGGCGAGACTTAATTCTTTGTTTTCTGTCGAAACTGCGAGGACATTTTGTTCTATTGTTTCATCTTGAATTAACAAAAGAATTTCATTCGATAAAGGCGCGAAAAATCTGGGCCAATTTTCAGGTGGCTCTAGTAGAAAAGCCGGACCACAAAACCATAGTTCGTTATTAATTAATTTCGAAGCAGAGCACCCTCTAGATGCGAGATCTGCGGGATTTGCATTCGTTGGACAGTATTCCCAGTTTTCCTTGTTTACAAGGTTTCTTATCGTTGTAACTCGATTGTGAATAAACAGTTTGTGAACTTTGTCTTCGTTTTTTTATCCACCACAGAGCAACTTGTGAATCTGACCACATAAACCTTTGTTATTTTGAATAACCTTCCTCAAAGCATTTTCAACTGAGTTAATGAGTTTTGGTAATACCAAGGCTGCCATTAATCTAAACGAGGCATTGTTTCGTGTTTAAAGGTGCAACCCTTGTTTTTGCGGCGACTAATCTTACAAATACTTGATCATCGAATGTGAGAGAGCGAATATAGAACACAGCTCCACGCAAATTATGCTGGCATCTCCAAAACCGTGAATTCAACGCTTACGTCATTCAGATTAATGCCTTTTCATCAAAAGGACCTATAAACTCATAGATAGGACCCCTTGCCATTTCCTGACAATGTGTTGAAATCGGATTCGATATTTCGCTTGGTAAACATCCGTCCCAGCAAATTTTATTTTGCAAATCTCTTGAAATAATTGTTTAACAACACGCAGGTAGGAGCGGCGATACCCACGGATCATAAAACCGCGCGATTGTTACTATAACAACGCGCCTTCGTAACCTTGTCCTCCGCTGCCGACATGAGCGAAAAAGCTGAGCGTTTAGAGTGCTAATTTATCTTAATGATTCTGATCCCATGGAATACCCAACTTTTACGTTTTCTCTCTCGAATAACATGAGATGGGGCTTTTTTCCCTGTTTTCAAAATGAAATGGCATCTTCATTTCCCGAAAGGTTTGGCTTGATGTTGAACCGTTTTTTCTTCGTGCTTCTATTTTCCGTAAAATTTCACATATATTTCTGAAGGCGAATTTTCGAAAGTTAAATCCCTCCGGCGATAAAAACATTGTTTTCAGTTTTGCATACAATTCCAAAACATTCTTCCTCAGATGAGTAGGAGACGCAAAATCACTCCCTAGTAGATGGACGAAATGACATTTTCGATAATAAGTCAGGATCAGAACTCATTGCCGTCGATATTCCAATGATTGTTTTAGCGTGGCGTTTAAGTGTATGGCGAACAAGTTAAACCAATACCATCGAGTAAACGCAACGTGATTATTTCAGCGGACTTTCTGCGTACAGTCATTTAACCAAAAAAAGCGTAAAAAGTCCGCTGTTTTTCTGGATCTATCGTGATGTTCAGAAATGCCTCTGTATATCCGAAATTAAGGCTACATTGTAGAGCGCGAAATCGAACAGTAAAATATCGAACAACAATGGCCGCTAAATTAGGGCCTGACATCTAAACATCGTTAAGCTGATTTCAAACCCGGCCTTTAGAACTTGCGTCATAAACATCCTCAATTTGGTTGTTTCCCTTCTTCGCGAATTACTTCCTAGTGGAATCTAATGAACTTGCACCTAACGGTTAGAGTTCCTTCGTTAACAACTTCCTGATGATACCGGAATCGAGTTGTCTTCATATAACATTATCTATTGCGACAAAGTTTGGGAGATTTATTCGACGATTAACTAACGAATTCAATCCTTCGTTTTGACACTTGAAAAGTTGATCTGGAATTGTTGGGCGTGTATTGGCTTTGAATGGTAATGGAGGACTTGAGTTCTACCATGCAATGAATTTAATATTTTATTATCAAGTAACCCGTTTCGTTTGGTGAACCCAGAAGAATTTTCCTTAATTCCAATGTTTCGTAAATCCCAAAATTTATGCAATTCTTGCTTTCAATTCTTCATTTAAACTCCACTCGAAACAGCTCTACTTTTAGCCGTGTTGAAAATTGTAAATGTAAGACGAAAGCGTTCGAATTTGACATGCACTGGGCCCACTAAGAACGTACCCAAGACGAGAGAGTGGCAACAGGTCCAAACCCATACTGCCCCCGTACAACGGAAATCTGCATGAAGGCACCAGAAAAAATCGGCTCAATGAGCAGATTTATTTCAGATGTCTTCCTTTAGGCCATAATTTTGATCAGCTAGTTTCAGATTGGCGGTAAATGGGGTTACTCCTGAGCGAATTGGATATTGACTTGACTTTGATAGGGGTGGCTACAATATTACACCTCAACCACATATGCGTAAATTAAACAGTCAAAAAGAATTAGGGTTATCGTCCCCTCGCTACAGCTAATTAACTACACGTCACATTCCTTGAGAGGTTCCTTGTGATGTTTCGAATTCTTTTATTAAAACGTTTTCGGTTTAATAACGTGGGTAGTAGAAGGCTTATCTCTAGCGATTTTGTAATGTATGTTTTCTTGCGAACAGTGTCTAAAATCAATCGAATCCCTTTACAGTGCTTAGTTTCGTTATCTACACTAAAAACACTTGCTTGTGCATGTTATGTAACAGTACCGAATTTTGCTTCGGGTCTTGCGAAGTAAAAATGTACTTACGACTCGCATTTCCAATTTCGTTGACACGCCGGCGCACCTGTGGCACCCTTGACGCCTTCGCTCGAGAAGACATT